GGGTTGTCTGGTTCTATGCAAAAATATGTGTGCATCAGTATCCATCTGGGTAGTAAAAGTGGGGTTGATATACTTCAACTGGTCATATACACAGATTGTAGTATTTCAGCTTAATTGTACTATATAAGTGTTTATTTCTGACATGTGCAATAGGCATCAGGATTTCCATCTAAGTGTCTCAATAGAGGGACCCAGAAGCCTTAGAATTTGTTCCAAATCTCAACTTTCCAGTGAGCACACAAGACTTGTTATTTTTTCTGAATACCCTGGTAGTATTAATCCTTTTCATAAAATTGCAATCCAAAGAAGATAGCTGCAGCCAACTGCATCCAAGAAGCAACATTCTACATGTAAATGGTGTAGCAGTCAAATAAAAATTTATACCATGTAGTCAGTGCGATAAATCTTAATGGATTTCACTACATTAAAATCTCATAAAAGAGTACTTAATTAATGTCAAAAATCCACAAAAATATACCCCTTCTTTTGCATAATTGTACGCCTATTAACAACAAAATAACAGCCGGTAAAACACTCCATTCATATGTTCTACATTTTTTCTGCTTTTGTGAATTTCACTCATTTTTATTTTGTTTTGAAATGAAACACAGACTAATCAGAAGTTGTATGAAAGACATCGTAAGCATAAGGACTTTGGCTCTGGAAAGTAAGTATAGTACTGTAAAAAAAACTTTATTTTGTCAAAAAAAAAGTGAAAATAAAATCCATAAAAGACACTCATTCAGAAATAACTTTATTTTCTCTTATCCAATTTGGACACAAACTCTAAGTGGATGGCAGAAGTTGATTAATAATATTTAAATCTTGTAATAGTTTGTTTTGACAAACCTACTTGTATGTGTATATTAAAGCTAACAATATGTAATTTACTTTTCTAGACACCATTCAGAAAAGTGGTGGAAAGCATTTGGTGAGTTGTGAATACATGTATTTAATATTACATAGTTGCGAGTAATGATCCCGCATAAAGACACAAACACACCTCTGAGAATTTTAGCTAGATATGCTTTGTGGCAATTTTAAGACAAGATACAATTCATTAGCAGACTAACTTCCAAACTATGGTGTAAAATCACAAGTAGACCTTGGTTTGGAAAAATAGTTACCACATGAGTCCATCATCGGAAAGATTGTAAGTTTGAATCTAGTGATTGGCTGCCTGCTCAGCAGACAAAAAAAAATACAATACTGCCCTTTTGCCTGGCTCATGGTGTTCATGATTGGGGGTATGCAGACAAAAAAAATGTAAAAACGTGTATGTGCTGTTTCTGTTCTCAGATGATCAAAAATATATCACACAATTCTTGTTGCAACAGGTAATGGATTACCGCAGGATGAGTGGAACTTACCTGAAAAAGGCAGGACTCAATTGGAAATCATAGAACTTCTAAATCAATTGAATTGACAATTATGGTTGAATAAATAATGCTCATCAAGGAGCAGTGTGAATTAAATGAGGGATATAAATTCTGCCTAGACAGTGTTATATGTACCACACACATGGTATCTGTTTTCAAAATATGGTACTGAAAGTTGATATATCTTTGCTATTTGAATTCTTAGGTCATATGGCAATCATGGATGATATGTTGAAGGAAATACCAGTACAGCAGGGATATGGATCAACAGTTGAAATATCTGCTAAAGGAAGAAATTGGTTTTCTGCACCTACTGCATACAAACTAACTCCAAATCAGGTATTGGATCTTATCCATGACCCCTGAAGGTCACACATCCTGGTCTTTTTGGGGGTATTGTTGCCCTCAGACTTGCGGCTCTACACAATGCTCATTAAAGCATCAACAATGTTGTATTGAAATGGACATGCTTCTTTTATACAGTTATACAGTTGGAACATTTCACTTGTTCACTTTCAATGCAGTTGTTTTCCTATGCTATGGGAACTTAGATGGAATAGATGTTATTTATTCGTGTCTGAGATATTTTTATAATTGTTAATTAATCATGAGGCATTGTTTTCTGTGTAGGAGTTACTGAACTGTGAGAAGTCTTCCGTACAATCATCAGTCTCTGTCATACCAACATGTAAGATACTGCCAAGTGTACCCGCAGGTGGCTGGAGTCAAATGATAATTGGTGCCTCCAATGGGGAAGTCATGTCACCAACACAGCCACCTGTTGATCCAGTAGAGCAAGAATTACAGGTAAATTCTTCTCATTGTAATATTGCGATAAAATTGTATTTCAGACCTAGACCTTATTTTCACAGAACTAGTTTGAACCGGCTGTTAACTGCTTTGATGGCACTGTGCGACAACACTGTTGGCACTCGTTCTGTTTTTTTGTACATTAATGGTTGATATACACTGCTATTGTTGCATTCTTTTTTCTTGGCTTGATAAATTTACACAATAAATCAACTATACTCATTAAATATGTAATGTGACATACATGTAAGCAAGAATGAGTGATGAAGTGCATTCCATTCATCTTTGGATTTTTTGAGGTCTGGAAAGTCTTTGAGTTGTATTTAAATTACAGAAAAATAAAAACATCTTTGAAAAGTCTTTAAATTTCTTCATAGTTATTAATTCATTTTAGAAAGGCCCGTTTTCTCCAGGGAACTACCATATCCTCAGAACTTTGATGAGCTTTGGTGATGATGTTGGCCTGAATTAAGGGTAAAATGTCTTTTGGGGGGAAAAAATGAAAGAAAGTTTGAGATAAGGTCTGGAAAAGTCTTGGAACTCATTTGGCCCTTGGTGCTATGGACCCTGTAATCACAAAAAACCCACTGGTTTACAGTTCTATTCCACTGTGGAATATCTAGTTTTACTAAAATAACTAAATGTTTTGTTGTCAGGGTCAGCTGTACAGTCAACTGCTATCACAACGAAATGACTTGGCTTTTGAGATTGGAGCTGCCCCATACATGATTGCAAACAACAAAAACCTACTTGATCTTGCCAGAATAAGGTATTTAACCTTGAATTCACATAAATTTTCATAAGTTTTAAGTAAATGGAAAATAATCCATTTGTTCTAAAGTTTATAATTTGAAAAATTATATATAATATATGCTTGAAACTCTATTTGACATAGAAATGCATTCTAATTTATTACTTTGAACATATAGTCAGTAACTTCTCAGAAATGACTGCGCTTATTGCAATAGAATTTAGGGCTGTGACATTGGATTACAGGAGAGATCAAATTCAAGATTGCCAACAGGGGTGGCCATTTGGTTCTTTACCATGACTGCTTTTCTGGCATGTAATGGCCATTTATTTTGTGTTAGTATTTCCAATTTGTATCTTGTACTACTTATAACAGAGAAGGTATTTTTAATTTCACTCTTTGTGTCCTGTAGACCAGGTTCTATGAAGTCGTTATTGAAGATCGATGGCATATCTGAAGCTCGTGCTGAGAAATTTGGTGCTAAATTGATAGAGAAAATTCAAGAATTTTGTAAAGATAAGGACCTGAAGATTGACAATTTTGCTGACACAGCACCCAGTCACATCAGAGATGAACCACAGGTAATTTATAGTGATCTGCACTACTAAACAGTGTTAAAAACTACCAACTCTTGTCCAATTTACTGTTGTGTGCCCAATGGAATTTATTAGACATTAAAAAAATAATTAATGTTTGTACATTCATCATTAAAGTTTTGTGTGCCCTTTATGAATTGTCATGTATCATTTATTTACAATGTAGTTGTGTTAAACCTTGTTTGCCTGGTTCCAAGTGCCGACCAAAGATGGTGGTTGACTACACAAATGTTCAATGGGATTACTAGCTGTGGGTCGTTTGTGTTGACAGTTTTAGTATATTTGGGAGCATTTAAAGTGTTATTTTAGGATATTTGATTGTTATGACACTGCAGAACTATGGTATCCCTCATTTGCATCCACAAATGTGAGACAGAAATTTAAAGTGTATTCTAATGAAAGTCAATAGGAGATCACTATTTGCTAATTTCACTTTTATGTGTGAATAAATGACATAACTTTTTTGGATTCTCCTGTCAACCAAACTCCCCATAAATGCAAAATTTCCTTTGACCCATTATGCTACTTATCCAAATTTTGGCCAATTTGCCTTTTTATTAGTCCCCGTTCGGACGTAGTAAGAAAACGGGGACTTATGGTTTGCCCTGTGTGCGTCCGTGATCACCTGTATCTCGAACATGCATGGACCGATTAAGTTCAAACTTCACTCATACATCACACATTATATGGGACCTATGCACATGCATTTTTTTCATGATCCGATTAACGATAGCCGAATAGTGGCCATTTTAAGGCATACTCAAAATTGCACATTTTCACCATTCCGAACCCGGATCTCAGTTATGCATAGACGGATTTTGTTCAAATTTGGTACATACATTAAATAATAGGACCTTGATGCACATCCTTTTTTTTTTGGTTCGGGTTTGTTTTAGAGAATTCAGTTCTGGATCCGTGTCTGAAGACATGCCTGGATTGATTGAGTTCAAACTTCACACACACAAGGTACATCATGTCACAAATATGTATGTGCATTTGTTTCATGATCTCATTAACGATAGCCAAATGGCGGCCGTTTTAAGGCCGAAAATGCATTCAAATCGCACATTTTCACCATTCCGGACCCGGATCTCAGTTATGCATGGACGGATTTTGTTCAAATTTGGTACATACATTAAACATAATAGGACCTTGATGCACGTCATTTTTTTTTCAGATCAAGTTCGAAATGGCCGACTGGTGGCCATTTTGTTTTAAAAAATTCAGTTCTGGATCCGTATCCGAGACAAATAGATATGTACATTTGTTTCATGATCCGCTTAATAGCTGAATGATGGCCATTTTAAGGCCGAAAATGCATCAAAATCGCGTATTTTCACAATTCCGGAACCGGATCTCAGTCATGCATGGATGGATTTTGTTCAGATTTAGTACAATGTGTTGTACATATGCAGGTACATTTCGAATCAGACCACTGAAAGTGGTGTGAGATTTCGGTTATGATCTGCTTTGAATGTATACGTCACTCAAATATGAACGGAACGGGGACGTGTCATTGACAATGACTTGTATTTTATGTAAATTAGTACTATTCACCCACTTAAAACTAACATTTTAACAAAATTGATTCTATCATAACAAACTTTGCGGTCATTTTTAGTGTATTTATGAATTTAAATCCGTAGATATACTCTAGCACTTAACAAGAAAAGTAAAATGCTTTTTTTGGAACAATGAATTCAAACCATACTTGATATTTGTTTATCAACACAAACTAATTGATAAATATATTACATATTTCAGACCCAAGGTGTTGTATTTCAGCGTACTGCAATAGTTCATCCGTTAACCGAGACTGTGATGACAACATATACATTATTCCATGAGCAAAATAAATCCATGGTGAGTATATAAATGAAGGTATTCCAGTGGAGTATGCAATGATGATCTAACATAATTAAATGAGATGTTGAGATATCCTTACTTTGTATACTGTAGAATACTTTATTTTAGCTGGAAAAATCATTCCTTCAGCGAAAATAGCGAAAAATAATTCCAAGTGAAAATAAAGTATTTTACAGTAATCAAAATTGAACCTCATCAAATGTGCACAACATATTATTAAGTGCAATAATACACAAAAAATATGTTCGCTTTTGTTAAATCCCACGCAAAGTTTTGAAGACCTTTGACCTATGACCTTTGTTTGTCTTGTTTTTACATTCAATTTAACGCATAACACAGGACCTCGCGGTGAATGGAAAATGGCGTATTGTGAGACCCTTAAAAAATTGCATGCCAAAACTACATTTCTAGATATTCTACATGCAAATTAGTGAGTCTGTGAAAGAATTGGTTATTGTTCATTTCAGGCAATTTTTGACGGTCCTGCTTAGGTACATTGTATTTGCAAAATGTATATGGCGTATACATATATGCATTTTGCATTCTTGAACACAGCAATAATCTTATTATTTCTGTATACATACTTGAATTATTACATCCTATTGCGTTCTGCGATGCTATTGTTCAGAAATATGTTCGATTGGTGCTTGTTTTGGATTTTTGTGGCATTTGTAAATATTTGGTGTCAAAATTCTGTAGTTCGGTCGTGGTTGAATTTTCAGCATATATATTTGTCATCCAGACAAAGATGAACAAAATCAGTATTTGATGTAAAGCACTTTTCATTAGAATGAGTCTGTCGGTTATTCAGCAATGCATGATGGGATGTGTTGTAGTGAAGACAATATATAAATATCTGGCTCAATATGCAAAGTTTGATCAGTATGACCTGTCATCGCAGTAAATCTTGGATTTAATTTTTGGCCTAATTACCTGAAATTGAAAGTTTACCTTGATAAATAAAAATACCAAGTTGTCATATATACTGGTAGTTATTATTTCATTAAATATTTATAATTAAACCATGGCTACTTGAAATCACCCTGATCATTGCTTGTTATATTTTAAAATGGTGTATTTACTCTAATAGAAGCACATATTCTAAGTGTAAATATAAAGTAAATACAATATCCCTTATTTGTACTTCATGCCTCCAGTACCTTCAGCACACAAAAGTTCGCAGTCCGAAAACGGGGACTTATGTTTTGACCTCGGTGTGTGCGTGCGTGCGTGCATCTGTGCGTGTGTCCGGACCTGTATCTTAGAAATGCCTGGACCAGTATCTTAGAAATGCCTGGACCAATCACAATCAAACTTCACACATACATTATACATGATATCATACATATGCACGTCAATTTGTTTCATGATCTTATTCAAGATGGCCGAATGGCGTCCATTTTTGTGCTAAAAATCATCAAAATCGAGCATTTCCCAGTTGTTTACAGATGGATTTTGTTCAAACCTTGTATATACGTTGGACATTATAGGACCTTGATGCACATCAATTTGTTTTACGATCTGATTCAAGATGGCCGAATGGCGGCTATTGGTATATACATTAGACATTAATGGGACCTTGATGCAAATAATTTTGTTTTTCAGATAACATTCAAAATGGCCAACTGACAGCCATTTTGTATTAATCAATGTGGTTCTCGTGTCATATCTCCAACTTGTTTTGACTGATTATGTTCAAATTTTAAATATTCATTATACATCATGTCATAGATATATTGG